TTTGTCCTGAAGATTGTCACGAGCATTAGTTTCATCCGGTAGAAAAATCCCGTTCTGTCGATTCATTGCTACATTCCACAACACACATCATTTGACGCGTATTCACCACCGCGTGCGGTTGACTCTCAGGATTACGGTCGGAGGACGCAACAAAGGTTTCGCACGTTGCATTGTTTATCCATTCTTGGAGATGTCCAGTAATTCCAATTGTGTGTATGGAGAGAGCGACTCCAGACACCATGTGCCAAATTGATTCGATCACCTCACACCAAACTTTGGTTTTGACCCAATAAATTCCTTCATACAGATTTTGATATACTATCCCAGTTCATCCTGCTAGGCGGGATCATCAAGTCACAGGTGGTCGTGACTAATAGTGTAGGACGGTGAGTTGGACTGACTGTACTTCGACCACAATTGACAAATGGCATACATAGTCGATTCGATTTTTACCCGGTGAAACCAACTTAGTGCCACTGAAGTAGACATTTAAGCCAACAAGAATCAGGAAACGATGAGCTGCGGCCAAAGCGGGACTCGAGTTCGGTGCCTTCCCGAGTGAGTGTTTGAATGGATGAGTGGGGGATGGTGCGTGAAACTGAAGTCTGACCGGTCCAGATCAAGATCGATTCAGTAAGCTACGAGCGAACTTTTCAATAGATATTGTGAACAAACTAGCCTAATATGATAGAAATTGACAAGCGCAGAACAGAAAGAGTGTTACGAATGAGTGTCGGGACGAGGAATATTATTTGCTGCGAATAGGGTATCGGTATATTGGTACACATAAAATGTCTCATTTGGAATAAGTGTTCAGAAGTTCCACAAGCACATCGGATAAGTGACCAAACGGTCCGACCGTACATGGGCATTGTCGGTATTCACAAAAGTAAAGCCTTCAATCCATTCGCGAATTCCGTGAGAGTTCAATAACCACTTATTGACGCAATTCACAAGTGAGTAGTACCTCAGAACAGAACGATTGGTAGCCAATGCCAGTATGGTCAGTGCTTTTAAACCAAGGAAGGATGAAACGATTGACAGGTCAAGTCGCTTCGTCCTTCGTGGAGAAAACTATAGAGTGCGACCGACAAGTCATTTATCACACACAGTGGCATTTGGCGGTCACTAGTATCTGTTCGGTTCAGGCATTACTACTGCCCCACCCAAGTACTTCTCTTATGCCGATCGAAAAAGCAACCCATTCTTTCAGTATCACTGGTTATGGGTTGACCAGACGCGTTGGGAAACCCTGGATCTCTATGAACTGGTTACATATACTTGACATTACCCATTCGATACAGGAAGGCGGTCAGCGTCTCTTTAGTTGAATTGTGCACTATCCGCTACTTTACTCAGGGAGTATGAGACGTGCTAGACCGAAAGAGCATTTAAGATGGGAAATGCATCCACGCTAGGAAAAACCCCAAAACCGTTTCGCTTCATCCGAGCCACCGATAGGAAACAAGATATCCGTGAAACAATCTGAGAAGCATATAGTGAAGATGTCTTGAACGTTAGACAGAGCACGCAGAAGGATCGTCCAATTGAACTTCTTAGTCCAGGTATTCGCCTGAAAAGGACAGCCCTCTGCGGAGGAAATCCGCGATAGAATTCCGTCCTTGAGACACCACAAAGCGACAGGCTTTGTCTGTCGTATTTCTGCAGTACATATACAGAACCACTTAATATTGATCAAGTTATGAAAGCATGCAGATGGAAAGAACCATTTCAAATGTCTTCAAATTCACCTAATTGAAAGTGGTACTTTTAGATTATGTTGATAGATGCGTCGTCATAATTGTTTGTTTATCTGTCAAGCGAAAAATTTCACTAACTGTTTTGCTCTCGAGCCTTTAACTGAGAACGTATCGAATCATCTGCGATTGTATTAAACACCAATTTACAGGCCTAGACCACAAAAGACAAAAGCAAAAACTGTAATTCTGATCATAATAGTAATGATACACATGTTTATTTTTATCGGTTATGTATGCTCAAATCGCGGAAACGACTCAAATTCATATAGAATACTGTCGAAAGAGACAGACCAAGAAGCGGATCGCTCCGGATAAACAATTCTGGGGAGTGGCAGTGGGTGATCTGTGGAGAGGGGACTAGTCTGAACCAGAGGGTACACTACCGTGCTCTAGATCGATCGATGAACGATAGTGAACTGTCAAATCTATTATGACCGGCCAGGTGGCCTTTGTGTGTGTGAGAGAGAGAGAGAACGCAGCGAGCAAAATAAACAAGGGCAAGAGAAAACACGAGGCAAAGCATGATCAGAGGCGAACAAATTAACCGAACCGGAAAAACAAACCTCGGAAACGAGGTTGCTAAGAGGTTTTGAATTGATGTTCACGTGTGTGTTGGGGAATGGGGGAGTAGAGAACAGTTTGGAGTATTCTAGTACAAATTGTCTGTAAACCATATCTTGCATGATAACCACATTATTGGTTGTGATAGTGGTGACATCAATGATGATGATGATAACAATGATTGCGGAGATGGCAATCACGAAGATGACCAAGCTCGGCGGGTATGAGGCAGAAGAAACGAGTATAAAGAGCTTGTTGAGCAAACAGGCAGACGGCACTAAGCCAGGTAGTTGTGATAAACCTTATGAAGAAATAATAATAATAATCG